AGACAGACAGACAGACAGACAGACAGACAGACAGACAGACAGACAGACAGACAGACAGACAAATAGCATTTTTAAAGAGATTCTAACATTTAAAAGTAGGAGATTTGCTGTCGATTTGGGTGAAATATTAGAATGTGAAACCAAACAAAAATCAGAAAGGGGATGGTGTCGATTGTCATGCGATTGTCTGTACAAACAGGCAGGCGGCGACCTCCCGAACTGTCACGAACTGACAACCTGACGCCAGGACATGTCAGTTCAAGGACAAACGTTTTTGTCATGGTTTTCAAGTCCACGAGCCAATCAAGGCGATAAAGTGTTTGTCTTGCAGAGGGGGAGCCAGGATTGATGGGAGACGAGAAGATTTGTTTGAGTTTGTTAAAGTGAACATCGATTCAGCCGTGGTTATGTGTGTGTGCGTGTGTATGTGTGTGTGTGTGTGTGTGTGTGTGTGTGTGTGTGTGTGTGTGTGTGAGAGTTTGATGAAATGTGGAAGAGGGAACAGGTGATTTTCTTAGACAGGTTCTTGCACAGCTTAGACACGTGAGTGTTTTAGACAAGTGGTTGTCTTAGATGACCGTCTTAAACAATTATATGATTGTTCAAAATGTGATTGTCTTAGAAGATTGTTTTAGACAAGTGAATCTCTTAGATGACTGTCTCAAACAGTCATAGGATTGTTCAAAATGACTGTCTTAGACCTGTGATTGTCTTAGAAGATTGTTTTAGACAAATGTTTGTCTAAGATAACTGTCCTAAACAATCATGTGATTGTTCAAGATGGCTGTCCTCACATGTGATTGTTTTAGAATATTGTTTTAGACAATTGAATCTCTTAGATGACTGTCTTAAACAATCATGTGATTGTTTCAGATGACTGTCTTAGACAGGTGATTGTTTCAGATGACCGTCTTATAAGACATGTGGTTTTTTCTTAGATGCTTATCCTGGACAGGTAACCGTTTCAGACAGGCAATTGTCTTAAGCAAGTGTGATCGTGTTAAACAGGTGATTGTCTTAAACAGGTGGGCCGCTGGAATCACTCTACCTTACAGAGGTCCCTGAAGTAACGTCTACAATGCTCCTCCGGTGTGCTCATGACGATGTACAGACCGCTTGTCCGGTGCTTTGTTATATTATAAGTAGTTGACTTAAACAGACGATTGACTTAAACAGATGATTGTCTTAGACAGACGTTTGTCTTAAACAGGAGATTGTCTTAAACAGGTGAGTATTTTAGACGACTGTCCTAGACAGGTGAGTGTTTTAGACGACAGTCCTAGACAGGTGAGTGTTTTAGACGATTGTCCTAGACAGGTGAGTGTTTTAGACGATTGTCCTAGACAGGTGAGTGTTTTAGACGATTGTCCTAGACAGGTGAGT